AAGCATATTTCCTCACACTTTGATCGAAAATACAAACAACTTTTAGCGCGCTGAACGCTAAGAACGGCTGCATTGGGTTCTCCAACTCAACATAACAAGGGGAAAGAGTCATAAGAAATGACCCTTGACAACCTTATAAATAAAGAAAGAATGAGGTGTATTTGAGCGCAGATTAAACTTCAGCTAGCTCAAATTGCCTGACTCGAGAAAATTATAACGGGCATTTTCTGGGAACATGCTCTTTGCATTCTACTGCTTCGTTCTCGCCGTTTTGGCTTCTCTGATACCTGCAGAAGAAAAAGTGAGATTTTCCTATAATTATGTCCTGGTTCAAGTCTGAGTACTATTTAAAAATTTATTATTATAGATTATTATTATCCTTATTAACATAACAAAGCCTTGAAATATTCACACAAACTTCCAGTGTTGCTAGCTATAAAAAATTACTCCAATCATGACAAATAGTTTTCTCCTTTGGATGGTATGAAATAACCTTCAAATTTTGCAAAGTTGAAATGGTAAATTGGCCACCGGTAAATTGGCCACTTAAGGTGGCCAATTGACTCTTAAGACTTGAGACCTTGACATGAGACATTGACTCTTACTCTTGAGACTTAAGGTGGCCAATTTACCATTTCAACTTTGTTGATATTTCCAAATTATTTCGTTACCCCCACCGACGCAGCCCCAAACAGTTTCTTTCGAAACTATCAGCCTTTATTCAAATTTTACTGTACGTTCAACATTTGCCGCATTCATGTTACAACAAATTATTTACGAGCAACAAGATGAAGAATATGGGGAACATGATTTTTGGAGTAGCCAAATGAGAGTATACGGTAGAATGATTAATCACGTCTCTACAACGCTGTCCATGCACGTTTTAAAATTTTCGATGCCACGTGATAGCGAAATTATCACTGGAGGTCCTTTGTATCGTCACTACAAGCGAACTAACGTTTTGTGAAAAATTTTTAATTTTCAAACCCTACCTGAAGAGAAAAAATATAGAGAAAAGGAAAAGCACCAGTGCATTTAACTTTGGGCTTAAACGTGTTATTTGTATTAATACTTGGCTGTTGGTAAAATCTGAGGACTTTGTGGATTGAAACTTTGCCTCTGGAGAAAAGAAACTAAGCTTGAATCACATACATACATACATACATAAATCCATTCATTGTTACTTCCTAAAGAGCCGGGGCTTCTCAAGCTAAACAGGTGGTTTTCAAGAAAATTTTTGTTCAAAAAATTTCATGCAATCCTGTTTGATTAAAACGGAGATTGTTCACCGTCGATTCGTTGAGTTCCTTGAGATGTTTTATTTTCAAAAATAATGCTGTCAGGGATATACGGGATATCCCAGGAACTATATAGAACCGAAAGACCAATGATCCTTTCAAACAAGTTTCTACCGCCTGTAGAATTTCTGTGTTACTTCAGGATTTTGTATGAAAGTTCTACGTGTTTAGTTATGATAGTTTGGTCGTCTTTATTTTGCGGTCAAGTTTGGGTAGATAAGGAGAGCGTAGAAACATTTGTTAAAACATTTTCAAGTAACTTATCGCCATACATTGCACCCCTACAGAGATAATTAAGCCAGAATAGATTAACACATAAAGGACAACTTTCCCTAAAATTCAAATTGAAGGTCACCGATATGCATTAAGTATAATCGAATTTCACCAACCAACTACATCCCAGAGAAACTTATTCATAACACCGTTGGTGACTGTTG